GAGTAGACACACATGATACGCAATCCTCTTGGCGGCCAGAGGCAAAAAACAACTAAGTAATAAATGACAGACGAAATTAATATTTCAATGTGCATTACCTCGGCACGTACTTTCTCAAATGAGGTGACCAATAGATACAAATGTACTCTGCTCGGTGTGTGCACAAGCGTACGCGAAACGAATGAGTCACGACCAGACGTAACCACGGCTCGGTAGAACGCAGCCTGTAATCAAATAGGATCTCCGTACGATCCAGTGAGCAAAACGCACACTCGTGAAAGTCCGACACCTCGCGTTACCACGCGAAACTCGTTCGGCTACACTTCGCCCCGTCTGAATATAATGCGTATAACAAAGGAACACCACGTTGTTAGGAATTAGTCATATATGAGTCGTCCTAAGGTACTCTGACCTAAAGGCCCTTAAAGCACAAATTGGAAATTGGAATATTACGTACAGTGAAATAACTTCTAAATTACGCGTCTAATGAAAAATTGTTTCATACGAAAGTTGTGTGTGGTTTTAAGGGAGGCAAAATACGGCTTATCAATTTTTTGTGAATTTCGGAATTTCCAAGGAAAGAAATAAATAAATTTAAAATATAAAAAGACATAAGATATTTATAATATGAAAAAATAATGTAAAATTTATTAAAAATTATTTATATTTAAAATAATATAAAATTATAAATAATATAAAAAGTAATAAATAATATAAAATTTATTAAAAATTATTTATATTTAAAATAACATAAAATTGTAATATAAAAAAATAATATAAAATTTTGTAACATAAAAAATTTTTTTCATCATAAATCGGAAGAATATTAAATTCCAAGTAAAAAAGTATCAAGCCAACTCTGTCGATTGCTTCTTTGACCGACGACAAAAAAAAAAAAGAAGAATTCAGAATAAAACGATTTGTAACATTCGAACAAAAGATGAAAAGTAGAATTTGGATCCCGAGTGGAACGTCAGATTACCGACGAGATCAATCGGAAGCGGATTGATCGTAAATTTTGTATTTTCACTGGCGCGCTGCACAGTTGATTCGATCAAGTCAGCCGGTAAATCAGAAAAGCAAACGAGAAATGGCACGCTGTATGAAAATCGATTGGCTCGGCTACTTGGCGAACGGTGGAACGATGGTGCAGGACAGATGCAATGTTTCCATCGAGAAATCACCTCGACAAATCATTTCACTCCGCGCAAAGATAAGGATTTCCTTCCCCATTGCCTTTCATACGCGAGAGACGTGCTCCTAACCTCTCCTTGATTTAAGCTCACCGAGCAGAGTTCTCTAGACAATTTGTATCTTAAACGATGGCGTTCGTGTGGACAAATGGATCAAAGTACAGAGAACGAATTTCACACGAAATTAATATCTATAACTGACAATATCTATGATTGATACGTGACAATATCTACAGCTGATATCTCACAGTACGACGAATGCCTCGATAAGCTGGTGATTTTCTAAAAAGAGTTTTCAGTAACCTACTAATCTTCTGACAAATTGCACACAGTTCAAAGTACAAACGAGTCGTCTTTTGCATTCGGAATTACAACTTTGTTTCATAACAGTTTTCGTCGCTTTTACGTTGTTTCTTCTCGTTATATTATTTGTTCAATTCTTGAAAAGCGAAGGCTCTTTGCGCCAAACGTTTTTATAATATTTACAGCATTTCTTAATATAGTATTTATAGTATTTCCTAATATTTTATAGTATTATAGTATTTCCTAATTTTTATAATATTTTCTAATATTTTACAGTATTATAGTATTTCCTAGTTTTTATAATATTTCCTAATATTTTATAGTATTATAGTATTTTCTAGTTTTTATAATATTTTCTAATATTTTATAGTATTTCCTAGCTTTTATAATATTTCGTAATATTTTATAGTATTATAGTATTTCCTAGTTTTTATATTTCCTAATATTTTGTAGTATTATAGTATTATAGTATTTCCTAGTTTTTATAAATTTCCTAATATTTTTAATATTTCCTAATATTTAATTTTTTATTTCCTAGTTTTTACAATATTTCCTAATATTTTATAGTATTATAGTATTTCCTAGTTTTTATAAATTTCCTAATATTTTATAGTATTATAGTATTTCCTAGTTTTTATAATATTTCCTAATATTTTGTAGTATTATAGTATTATAGTATTTCCTAGTTTTTATAAATTTCTTAATATTTTTAATATTTCCTAATATTTAATTTTTTATTTCCTAGTTTTTACAATATTTCCTAATATTTTATAATGTTATAGTATTTCCTAATTTTTATAAATTTCCTAATATTTTATAGTATTATAGTATTTCCTAGTTTTTATAAATTTCCTAATATTTTATAGTATTATAGTATTTCCTAGTTTTTATAAATTTCCTAATATTTTATAGTATTTCCTTATTTACGTATTACTGTCATTTCAACTCTTTTACTTCCTAACCAAATTTTATTATTTTATTCCTCTCGCTTGGTTTTTCGCCATTGTTGTTACAACAGACCATCAGTGTATACCGTCGTTCTATAACAATAAACTCCGAAATTTAAGAAAACAAGTGTGCCACCGTTAGAACGACCTAAATCATTCGAGGGATTCGACGACATTGCGTTGATCGGGCTTACGAAAGCAGAACTGGAACTAACAACGGATTAAACCTCGAGTGGAGTCAATTTAGCTGTTACTTCGACGAGACCGAGAAATTATCGACACAATGGCACAATTGGATCTTTCAAAATTTCAAGAGAAATTTTTACTCTCTTCCTGACTCGTCAAATGATCTCTAATCTGAGCCATTGCTACGAAGGAGCAACCAAAACACGTGAATATCGTTCAACTTTCATCTGCAGGATCTTTTCTTTTTCGAAACTTTCGTTTTCCAATCGGAAGAACACCAATCGACCAACTTCGAAGAAAACTCGCGTTACGAGCAGAACAATTACCTGGTTAAGTCGTTCGCTGATCTGTGTCGTTCAGCTCGGTTTAACTTTCGCAGAATCACTATCAAAATGGTCGAAATGACCATTTGAATATTTTTGTCAGATGCTTTATAGACATTTAAACGGCATAAGCAGCTTGAAGAACATTTTACAAAATCACCCTCATTTTACGAAAAGGGAATAGAAAGTTTGTCAGAGAGACTGACGAAGATTATCAATAACAGATTAAACCTGCATTAACTCTTGAATAAAATAAAATTTTGCACAGTATCAAAAAACGACGTTACTTATATCCCTGATGTTACAAAGGTTTTCTGTTTCGTTTACTTTAACGTCTCTGATGGAAATTTGATGCTCTACGTTCGCCGATAGTTCCAGTACCGATAAAAAACGATCCAACGATCGAACGCCTGTTTCCGGCGGCGTTCTACCGAGAGTATCGGCGACGTTCGACGAATGCAAACCGGCCACAATAACGATACCGTTACCAATTTTTTTTCAGTGCGGTTAGCACGCGAATAGGTTTACCGAGGAGAGGCCGCACGATGCGCCACAATCTTCCACTCGGTCGTCATGCCGCTCTGCGCAGTTGTACACACGATATCTCTCCGGCGGAGAGCTCCGGAGTGGCTCTGTGGCTACCAGAGTGTGCCATGGAACACGCGCCACGCGAAAACCAAGGCAAAACAAGAAAATTGCATGCTGCGCGTGCAACGTGTCGCCGCAAGCATTAGATTGAGTAACGAGCTTGCATCGATTTTTAGGGAGCGGACGCACGCGTGTTTCGGGGAGAGGGAGGACCTGCACGATCAACCGATTGGTAATACGGTGATAAATCTACGTGCTACGACCTGAAAGAGAGCGCAAAATTTTGTGGAGAAGAAATCCTTGCAAATTGGGAATTTTAAACTTTCTAACTAAATTCCCAATCAGGCAGGAGCTGACGCGTGCGAAATACTACGTGTGGAAACTAACCACGTTGCGCTGGCAACCGATTGCGGACCATAACGAGTGACCGAACCGTACACAATAATTCGTCGCTTCCTTTTCGAACTCTTCTTTTTCAATGATGATCACTGGATAGAAATTATCGAGAAGTGATAAATTTATTATTTGTTTCGCCTATTTTGTTTTACTTAAATATGTATTACCTAAGTATGTTTTACTTAAATATGTTTTACTTAAATATACTTGAAACTGAGGCAATATTACAATTTTGGGACAAAAAATTCTCGACGTCGTTCCAGCGCAAGAGGTTAATCACTTGCGCTGGCAACCGATTGCGAACCATAAAGAGTGACCGAATCGTACACAATAATTCGTCGCTTCCTTTTCGAACTCTTCTTTTTCAATGATGATCACTGGATAGAAATTATCGAGAAGTGATAAATTTATTATTTGTTTCGCCTATTTTGTTTTACTTAAATATGTATTACTTAAGTATGTTTTACTTAAATATGTTTTACTTAAATATACTTGAAACTGAGGCAATATTACAATTTTGGGACAAAAAATTCTCGACGTGCGTGGCACGTCGTTCCAACGCAAGATGTTAAGTTGAAAAATACATATTGACGAAATACATGTGAAAATAAGTCAAAACTATCTTCAACTCACAATGGATCGACGAATAACGAAAATAATTTTGTAACACTGTACAGATTTAGACAAAAATATTCACGGTATATGCGTGTAATTTAAAACACAAATAAAAACACTCATTTAACGTAATAAGAAAATCGATAACGTGTTTCCGCTTAAATTTCATTGCATCAATCAAGTACAACTATCTTTGTCACTTGCAGATTATAATATCTGTTTATATTGAGCGAGAAACGATTAAACGTTGAAATTACTTTACTTAAAAGAAATTACTTTACAAAAAAAGAAAAAAAAAAAAGAAGGTACTTAACATAGAGAATTTTGACTCGAACGAACGATTCTTATGAACGTTCCGTCCATCATGATCGATTAGACAATCTATGGAACCCGGGCGATCATTCAAATCACGGTATAATTTTTGAGTTCGAGAAGGGGAAAACGCTTACCTGATCGTACTCGATCCACTAAATTCACTTTCACCGTTCGCGGTGCCCCCCAGATAAAGCTCGTGACGATCTTCACTCTGTATATAGACCAAAGGATCGCCTCGAATCTCTCTAAGCCTTTCCGTTTGCGATCTAAAAAGTACGGATATTGTACATCTTTCGAATGACGAATCCCTTTCGAGTGCGGATCGTTTAACACAAACTTTATGGATGTTCAAAGAACATCAAAAATCTGAGCTGTATCTTCAATAGAAAAAAAAAAAAAAAAAAAACGTAGATTCTTTCAAGTTAAATTAATATTCCGTTCGAGAATTAACTCATTCAATTTACACTTTTTATAATTTCTTTCAATTTCAAAGAAAAATCATTTTCCTAACTAATCTTTGGATTGCACACCCAACATTATTTGCAGAAGAATCAAATTGTTTTGAGATATTAAGGTGAATAATAATGACTTGCTTGCAACAATCAGTCACTGTTAAGAATATAATTTATACTTGTATACTTGAGCTTATAATGGATTTACCCAATGTGTGAGGACAAAGCTTCTCTAAACAGCATAATATTCTCTGCCAAGGTGGTATCGCGGTTCCGTACGCTCATAAATATCCCATTTGTAGTCATCGTTTCGGTGGTGGTCACGGAATTCGAAATCGTTTGTGCAGGTTCAATCTGAGACGTTGTGGCGATTATAGGGGACTCGCCTGCAGAGGAAGGAAGCCCGACTAAATTTCGTGACGCGAGAATCGATGAACATTACGTTACCGGATAACTCCGGTGTCGCATAAGCCGTGATACAAAAATTATCTCCAAAGACGTAAAAAATTGCCGACGATTTAGTTTATTTATTTTAAAGTATTTAAAACAGGCTAAAAAGAGAGAAAAAAAAGAGAGAAAGAGAGAACAAACGTGTGAGGAAGAAATAACTGGGAACAGCGGATGAATCATCGAACGCAAAAATTTCAAAGGGAGAATCAATAAGCCCGTATGAAAGGTTCAACCGTGCCCCTATCCCCATAATCAATGTATATTGATGTACTTGTGTCGTCGTTCGTGTTTGCGGTGGAAGTCGAAGGTCCTTCAGGATTTGAGGGGTCACTGGCAGTTTCGTACCACCTCGTTTCCATCACGCGGTTCTCGGACCAGTCGACCGAACCCCTGCCTTCTGATGCATTCTGTTCGTTGATCGACACTGACAAATTGCAGCTCGTCAACAGTTTTGCACGAATATAAATGCACAATAACTTACTCCGAATTGCTAGATTTTTGAATGTACAAACTACCTAGGAAGAAACTTTTAGTGGAATTTTTGCTCAACGTATTTGAGTAAATGACCAATTTATTTAGACATTATGCAGAGGATAGTGAAATCCATTTACAAACGAAAATATAACTTTCCCACGTGTAGGAAGAACGATCTAGCATGTTGTAATCAGACGTTAATGAAATTTTCTATTTGATCATTAAAGTACTATGCAAAGGAGAGAAATGGAGCTTTGCTGTCCATGGAAGATAAAATTCTTTTATGGAGTATACTTTGAGTTAACATCCGAGGAATAACCAATTTACCACTAGAGATTCTTAACATCGTGCAATTTAACATGCCTTCCATGATTTCAGACACTTCAGGGCTACCGATTCCCTCCCTCTCGGATTCGGATTTTCCACCATTCTTCAATCTCGCCAAACGCTTCAGGTAGCAGGCGACATTCGGTAGTTTCGATCTGATCTATTCGTTATGATCACTAAACGAGATTCCGTTGGAAAACGAAACGAAATGTCGCGGCACGCGTAACACTCGAATTGTTGAAATTGGGAATTAAATTAACAAATGGGTGTTGAAAACAAATTAACAAATGGCTGTTACAAAATAGCTTATTTCTAATTTGTAATCTTTGTAATTATTGTCTTAATATTTATGATACCGCGACATTTCTAAATTTGTTACAGCAATGTAATTTATACAGGCTGTTTCCGAAATTGTAGTACAACTGGCCAGTAGGTGATATTCTACATAAAAAAAAAATAAATAAATCGAAAGAAAAGAACAAATTTTTTTTATTTAAGGCTCCGTTTTCGAGAAAATTGAGTTTTTAAATCACACCCTGACCGGTTGTACCATGATTTCGTATATTTTCTAATAAAATTTTGCACTTTCCATTTTCAAATTCCAAATAAAATAGTTCTATCTTATTCCAAATAAAAATAAAAATTCCAAATAAAATAGTCGACATTTAAACAAAAATTTCACTTGAAGTAAAAATAGATTTTCCCGAGTACCAAGCAACCAAGCTTTAAAGGCCTCACCTTGCTGGTTATGTTATTCGCGATAAATAGTTTTATACTCCTAACACGCTTATCAATGGAGCCCTGTGTATCTAATTCCTCCGCATTGTTCGCCACAGAGGCGTTACTTTCCGACACGTTTCCCGACGAAGGCCCATCATTCATAGCGAAAGTCAAAAAATCCACGAGGAGATACGCGAAAACTAGGCGTAGGCCTTGGGTTACTTGTCAATTTTCACATCGTACGATTTGACATTACTCGGTCGGTTTCTATCGACCGTCGCTTTTTCATTGACACGTTCATTGTTTTCTTTCGCTCGTATCATGGCTTTAACATCTAGACAACAATCAGAGAATCGCTGTTTCACGCAATCCAATAACAAAATAACCAAAAGAAGTCGCGATAAATCGAGTTGTATTGTACGATACTCAAGTAATGTCTCAGATTGTGCGCTGTATCACTTAAATTTCGTGCAACTGTGACAATTTGTATCAAACTGTCTGTTGCAATGTTGCAAAGAAAGAACACTCGAACATTATTTCATTTATATCAAAAACCACAGTGAGAATTAATGTTAGTAGAATCGTATTAAACAATTTGCTTTCAACGTGTCAACGGAGAGAGAAATTGATCCGCAAGGAAAGAAAAACAAAATATATTTGAAGGTTATGGAGGAAAAAAATTACGAATCGAAGTACTCGGCTGGAAGGACATGGCGATGCAGAAACAGACACATTGTCGTGTCACATTGTGTCAGCATGCGATCACTATCTGAAGTGACAAGCAACGATTCACTTACCTGATAAGTGTAAGATGTACAAGGAACGTAAAATTCTCTGCTCATAATAATCGAGGCTCGGAACGGTTGTAAAATCCAGCTGACGAATCTTGGGCAAGTGTCAAAATGCCGGTGGCGCCATCTTGAACTTGTCTGGAGTCGAGGTCGTCAAGCTGTCACGAGGAAAAATTCTCGATTTCTCTCGAGCACGAGTGCCATCCTCGAGTTCCCCTCATGAAGAATCAATCACGGCAGCTTGACCGAGGTTATACACGTCGTACGAACTCCAAAACGTTAGGACGAAGGGCAAACACATACGTTGTCGAATCACAGTACAAGTCACCAACACACGATACACTTATCACGCTGCTATTAGAACGAGCGAGCCATCGAATTAATCACAATGCTCTCGATTGGACGGATATCGTTGCGAATGCTTCGAAAGTCAAGTGGTAAATGCTTGTTTGCTGTTCAAAACTCCTCGTGATGCATCTGTGCAATGAGAATTACGGCATTGTATTACCTTACTACGCCATTTTCATGTGCAGTTTTCGATTCTACACATAACCACCGTTCGCGTTCACTGGCAAGTGCCGACTGCCGCCAATCACGAACATTAAGCGAATAATAATCATGGCGGACCAATGTTTCGTTCCACCAGCGCCATCAGGCAATCCATTTGGATTGCAACTCGACCTCCGTCGGTAATGTAAACGACGATAAATTTTTTATCTTCGTTTACGATCTTTACGATCACGTATTTTATTTCTTATTTGTCAGTATATACCTCGTCTGTGGTATAACTAAAGCAACAAAAAATGCAAATGTATTTATAAAAATATTATTGTATAATTAAAAATAAAATATTTTAATTCTGTATCGATGTATTATTAAGTCGTGTTGTGATACAAATCACGTAGCAAACGGCTTCAATCAGTTAAAAATAAATTTACGATTCTCAGTGACTTTGCACTTATAAAGACTTACGTAATCTCATATTTTTTTATATCATATACGTGTTTATAAATTTCTAAATATGGGATAATATTTGAAAATTTAATCTCCGAGCTTTCGACACAATGTAGATGCAAATATTTGTCTATAAAAATTTAGAAGATACAGTATATTAAAAATAAATAATATCAAAATATTAAAAAAACAATTACATAAAAGTTCGCACTTAGATCGTTCATCAGAAGCTTGTAAATTATTTACAACTCGTAAAGTTCAGTCTGCGTCCAACATTGTCACAACCACATTTAACACCCTTTCTGTTTGCTGCCAAGCGAGGTGGATATTTGGAAGATGGGTGTTTCTTTTTTTGTGACTCGATGATTACATTTCGCGGTATTAAAATGTCATTCCATGGAATCTCGACATCATCAGTAACGCAAGCTTCTTCCTGCACTGGCTGTATGGTCATGGGCTTTTCGAGTACAAGATCACTCCATGGAATTTCCAATGTAGAATCGCAACTATCAGGACTAGCTTGTTTCGATGGAACAGTTTCCATAATAATCAAATCCTTCCACGGTAGAAGCATAGTTCCCAGAGATTCTTTTTCCTCTGCTTCTTTGTCGACATCTGTCTCATCCATTTGTCCATCACGATCGTTTAGAGGAGTTAAAGAAACTTCTTGACGAATTCTCATGCCGGCTGCTGGTAATACAATATCCTTCCATGGCAGTTCAATCTTCGAATCACACAGTATAGATACATCTGAAAACTCTTTCCGTAAATCTCTCAAATATGGTTCATGCCATAGTTCCTCCTCTGGATTATATACAAATGTTTGCCTCTTCCTTTTGCATTGATCTTTCCTTCGTTGCTGCTTGTGTAATTTTTGCTGAATGCACTTACATCCTGATAGTTTTCTCTTATTGTCCGTCATAATAGTAAAATATCGTGAAATACACGTACTTCACATTCAATAATATTAAGATACGAATTTATGCAACTTGTTAATTTTCTAACCTAACGTTATCTAACCTGATGGTATAATTGGAATCAACGTAGTTTGTTTTGTTTTGTCATATACAGCATTTTTAATATATACGTATGTCATGTGTGGTTAGAAAAATATTCTCTTAGAACAGGTGATGTCATATTGAAAACGAACACGTATGAAGTATGTAACTTGTGTAGTAATAATAAATCTTTCCTCTCTTTTTATCTCGCCTATATTTTAATCTAATTATTTCAGGACTTGAATTTTAGGTTAGGTCTTTTAAAGAAGGAAAACAGTCTAGTATGTCGATTGCATAGGAAGCATTTGAAAATTACGTATATAATCATTATTAATCGGATACAAATACCTAACACACACACACACATACACACATATAGTATACACAACATACATATATATTATATATATATGCACATATATAGTATATATATATATATATATATATATATATATATATATAAGCATATAAGCAAAATTCGTTTAATCACGCACATTGGCCAATCATTTGTACTTTTCATCACGACATCTACCGAGAAATGATAGTATAATGTTAAAAATCCACTAGTTGCCGATAAAAGGAAATCCGTGGAGTCTCTGCTTTAATTTCACAATAAAAGGTGTAAAAGGAAACATAATAACGCTGTATTCTGTTCAAATGTTTCTACTATAAAATTTATCCGTTAAAATAATCGTAGATAGAATTACAATTGCTCGGGTTGAAGATGGAAGAGACAGTGTAGGAATCGCTGACGAATACTCAATTGACTAACGCGGTAAGGCTACGTTTAGAAGGCAGCCATCTTGCTATCCCTAATCAAAGATCTTCGGCTAGCGGCTATCGCTGTCTGGTTTTCAGCCGGTTAATATCAACACACAGTTCAACAAATGGCTTTAAAACGAATTAATAAGGTACGTGAACGATCAGAGGTGTTCGTATTCTACAAAGACAAACGGGTGTTGATGTGATGTGTGTCGAATGCGGTTGAACGCCCTTAACGATTTTGCAGTGAAGCAATGTGAGCCAGCATTGAAAATCATGTTGGCTTTCCCCCTTTTTTTGCATTCTTCGGTTGTGCTTTGATTTACTTGCATATCCGTTTATGTCGACATAGTGCGTTACGCACGTTGCATAGTGCCACTTTTGTGCCAGTGGAGGTAGCTACGGTGACAGTGAAAATGTAAAAAAATTTTAAGTGGCTAGCCGATAAATTGCCGGAAGTAACGTAAAACCGTACATTACATACCTCTATATATACATATATGTTTATTCATATATACATATATGCATGAAGCTATAGATAACTTAGAAATTACGAAAATTTCATTAGTGCATTCATAGTTATCCATTTATGGATAGAAATAGCATTAGAAATGTTCTATGTGACCTATCACTTATTTGCATCATAAGTTAATATGATTTACAACATGTAAGATTGTAGCACACATCAGTTGGATGAAGTGAATCATTTAGGGATTAATGTACTTTTCATGCATTAATGCACTTATCTACTAACGATCTGATCTGTCAGTCATTACAATATTTTTGCATCACAGCATCATTCAAAATAGTAGGACAGAAAAAACAGAAAACTAGTTGTTAAACAGTATTAACTACACTGTTTAATCATTCAGTTAGAGTGATATGTCACTGTTCAGCTTAACTTCCATTTTGTAATCATATACTTGTGAATATCAATCTAACATATATTGCAAGTATTTTAACTCAATCATATTTAGTTCCATACCTAATTTATCATTGAGTAGCATTTGTTCGAATTGATTCTTCTATTCATTATAATTTTGCTATAATTTGCATTTAGCAAAATATTTGTATACAATAAAATATCTGTATTGATATTTTACTTTATTCTATCTTCGATATTATGATACCTCGGGATGATTAACTTATGTATAAATAAGTTGATTCTTCTCAAAATCTATGAATATGAATGATGAAATTATTTTATATATTTATATACTATGTAAGATCTTAACATTATTTCATTCATATTAATACATGTAATACATATAGATGTGTGAAAGAATGTTCTAGAATATTTTTTTTACACATGTTTCATATATCTTCTGCAGCTATAGACATTTCAAAATTTGAAATTTCATTATGCAATGCATAAAAATATTATTGATTGAATACATTATTTTCCTTAGAAAAATTAATGTAGAAAATAACCACATACATGCACAGCAATATACAGTTTACATAGATACATGAAAAATTATTATTATAATTTTTTTATATTTAGGAACTTCAGGACCTTGGAAGAGATCCACCTGCGCAATGCTCTGCTGGTCCTGTAGGAGATGATTGTAAGTTATTTGAAAGTATTTATTTCTGCATCTTTAATTAAAAATTAGCAAATCATAATTGTCCTTATTATTGGTTTAAATTGATGTAATTGGTTTAAAATGTAATCGTACTTTATGTGATCGAATGAGTTGTCTTTAATTTTCTAAAAAACATATATTATTTAGATTAACTAATTTTAGTAAAAAGTATAACTTCTTGATGTTGACACAATAAAATATTAATTATTTTCTAATTTTATAATAATTAATTATGATTTGTAATGAACTATAATTTCTACATTTAATCATGTACTTGCTTTCAGTATTCCATTGGCAAGCAACTATTATGGGACCAGTAAGTATATAATGATGTTAATACTATTACCTAAATTATTTAGATTAATATTTATTGTTTTAAAAATGCATATCTATTTTATTATTAACATATAAATATAATCTATGAGCATTATTTTCAAGTATCTTCGCTTTCACTCTGACATTTAAAGGTATTTAATGATGAAATTCGTATTATACTACTCATAACTACTAATTTTATTTAAAAATGCATAATCCAATGCATGTAATTCTTTACGTGATATTTCAACAAGATTTCACTTTTAATTCCATTAAACCACACAATCTTATTATAATATGATACTTATATGTCATTAGTATACGTCATTTGTTTTTGTATTTAAAATAATTGTTTACTATTTTAATGTTGCAAACTGATTTATATTAAATATTAAATATAATTTAAGTAAATTTATTGTTTTGTTTTTTTGATATGTACTATAAAAACGGAATATTTCATTATAAATATAAATAAAAACTACATTTTATACATTTATTAGTATTTAATATTAAAATTTACTATGTAATTAGGAGTAAATGTTATTTTCAGCCTGACAGTCCATACCAAGGGGGCGTATTTTTCCTTACAATTCATTTTCCCACAGATTATCCATTCAAACCACCTAAGGTATATTAGTTCATTTTTTTAATAACATCTTATATAACATATAAGAGACATACAAATGACATATTAATTTTATATGTAGGTTGCTTTTACAACCAGAATTTATCATCCAAATATCAACAGTAATGGAAGTATTTGTTTGGATATTTTAAGATCGCAATGGTCCCCTGCACTCACCATATCAAAGGGTGTGTAGAAATTTTAAAATATGACTTGAACACAAATATAGTGAAATGAAATTTTTAGGAAATATTTAATCGTCGTTCTTAAAAGAGAAAATTTGATTTTTTCTTTTTTTAGTTTTACTATCAATATGCTCCTTGCTTTGCGATCCAAATCCAGACGACCCTCTGGTACCAGAGATAGCAAGGTTATACAAAACTGACAGGGAGAAGTACAATGAATTGGCACGTGAATGGACGCGCAAGTATGCCATGTGATGCGCCAATCTTCGTTGACTTCAACATCTAAAAACCACCAACAAGCAGCCCCAGCCTATTGCCACTTATGCATCAGCACCGATTGAAATTAGCTATGGCTCGTCTACTTTAAAACTTAAGCCAGTACTCGGGCTCGAAGAATGCTCAGACAAACGTGATCAATCTGAAGTTCCCTTCGTCCCGAGAGGCCTGCGAATATTGAGACGTTGCCACAATGGCAATTGAGGCAATTTGAAAGGTGGTCACATAACATTATATATATATATATAAAAATCAGGAAAAAAGAAACATGTCCGCTTTGATTTTCATAAATAAAAATGGAAGTAAAATATAGGAGAGTGAAAGTAGGATTTGTATTTGAATTTAATAGTTTAATTTCTAATTATTGTGCTTATAATATCGTAATATTATATACCTACTTTCTCAGTGAAATGAAAACCTTGAACTGACAGCACACCAATTGTTAGTTTTAACGCAAGTGAGCAATGTTTGCCCGTCCCTTGGAACGATGCGGTCACTTTTTTGTAAGACTGGGCTATATATAAATACTACTGAAACTATACCTGTATGTTTTGTTCAATTATTAAAATTCCTTACCTATCTAACAAATTCTACGAGTAACTCGAAATTTATAGTTTGTTTCCTGTGTGCGTGTAGTAATTTAATTATGCATATCGTTAATCGATAAATTGGACTATTATGCCTCTTGGAAATAATTCAATATACATAAAGTAATAAAAATTTTGGTGACTCAACTGACCGCGACATAAGTACCTGCCGTTCATGGGCCCGTGCGATATTGATATCAATCAAAGGCACTCACGATTTTTTATGACGTGAACTTGACGTCGTTTGGCTTTGTTTACATATTAAAAAAAAAAAGAAAGTGTAGTCATCGATGTCACTATTTATCGATAAATGATGAGAGCGAAATACATTTTGTTTGAATTCTTACGTAAAACGCGTTACAAAGTATATAAGAAATGTTTTAACGTGCTCTAGAGCTTAACAACGGATTTGTAAAATCCTCTGAATTCATTTTATATAATAGTACGTCATTATAATTATCAATAAAGTCATGCGTCGTACCTTGCGAATTAAGAATTCGCCCGTCGCTACGTTTTACTCAGATCAATGCGTTTATTATTGTTTTGCGTGTAAATTTTTCTTTAAGCGATAATTTTTTTATTACTATTATTTAGTAATTGTCTTAAGTTTCCTTTTCATCCACAATATAAGTATGTACCCCCTTTCTCTCACGTCCTATTATTATACTACAAACTCTTACACGAACAAAATATAATCGATAAATAGATCTTAATTCTTCGCCTACCCGCAATATATTTTCAATCGCTACATATTTTCCTACGTATTGTGGCTGCAAAGGACTCTAATGATTTTCAAAGTACTCAAATTATTTTCAAAATTTACCTAATGCAATTTTTACAAGATGAAAAGGACGTGTTGTCATTCAGGGCAACGTGTTTATCGTTAGTTTGTTCAATCTAGAAACAATGCACCTTTCGTTGGTGCTAGCAGTGTTTCGGCTTCTAATCCTAGATAACGAATACAATCCGAGATATCGTAAAGATGGTCACTTAATTAGTAAAGTAAGTAAACGATTTTGTCTTGCGAACGGTGTAAAGTGCGTTAACGAGCAAGTCTTGAGTGTAATCGGTGCTTAAAATATGGCAAGCTCACGGAGCAAGTACGAAGCCTAGAAAAGACAAATCGATTAGTATGTAATATGGTATATCACTTGTTAATGTCGATTTTGTCCCATACGAACGTGTACTGCTGTAATTTAATTACAAGTAAAAAAAAAAAAAGAAAAAAACGCGCGGCAAATCAGGTATTTAAATATTTGCCTCGAAAAGTGGATCATCGTTCATCTCTATTAGAAGGAAAACTACTCATGTGTAATTAATTATTATTATCACATCTCATGTGTAATTATTATTATACATATTATAATTAATTATTATTATTTTAGCATTAGCCCTTTATATAATAAATTTCACATGATGATAAGGTGTAACCATTCTAATTACTTGAAACCACGATCAATCTAGGAGATGCAACAGATATCTTAATATTTTCGTTCTGTTCTAAGTTCTGTGTCAATTTAGATTCTGCTACCGATGTTATTGTTTTTTTTTTCTTTTTCTTTCCATACTTGAAATTGCAAAATCTGCAGTATACGCCTTGACCTTATTTCGTAAGATCGGCAATTTAGTGCGTCTCAAATATGAGTTACGTAAGTATTGGAGCATCCTCTTTCGTAGTTTTTAAACTCCCAGAGGTAAAAGGAACCTTCGGAAATAAAATTGATGTAATTGACTGATCTAATGTATTTACAATCGTAGAATATCAATGCGTAACAAATTTGATACAAATATAATTACAATAAGATGTCTTTGTCAGAGGACTTTCACAAAGGATGGATTCCTCTCGGATCCATTGTAGAATCTTTAGATAAACCGTCGAATGGTGAAAGTGGCAGTGCTTTCTCCCTTTTGCCCTGGTTGCTCTTGACCGTTGTACATCTATTTTACCGCAGTGTTGGCAGAAACTTGGTGAAGCAGTATACTTAGCAATACAGATAAGCATATCTTCGTTCGATCAACAAATTCGAAGACTCTCAAAAAACTTGGTAAAAAACAACTTATTTCAAATCATTATTTAATTAGTTTCGAATTAGTCATCTAACAAAGTGAATATTTAATATGAATCAGTAAACAAATAAACGATGACGAACGTTTGCGAAATAAATTAAGTACGATTTCATTTCCGCGATTTAGTTTAATTTTCGTTCGTTCAAAAATCAGTTCAATTGAAAATTATTCCTCTAATAAATAAAAGATCGAATAATAATAAAAACTTTCGTATTAATATCTACATAATTGTTTTTATATATTATTAATTTTAATTATTTTTTTAACATCATTATAATTTATGAAAAGCATCCTCTTTAGAATTAATTCTTTCATTTATATGAAACAAAGCATGCTGTGCATGTAGAACATCGGTAGTAGTGTGACCTACTTACGTTATTTAGTCATCGTGAACATTCATTTTCTTAACTTTTGCAGAATCTTAAATTTTATATCAACAAATGTCCATGAAATTTCCAAATTATTAATTATTTAAAAAGTGTTTTTATATTGTAATAAAGATATAATGTATATATCTTCTTAACATACGGAATATATCCTTCATCTTGGATGTAATAAGGAGAATAGAAAGTTTGAGAAAACGAATTTATACTTGGTCTAGTAATATTTATAAGTGTTCTTTTAAAATATTCTTATATTCTTGCGCCAGTTTCTACTCTTTTAACCACGTAATGTCCATAAAAGGGCCATAATTATAATAGTCGAGTAAAGTAAATACTATTAAATTTTTTCAAAGATATAAAGGAATATTTTATTTACTTTTCTTACTATTTTAATAATTTTTTTTTTATTTACTTTCTTCAAAAAATATAATATGAATCATAATTATAATAACAATGAAAAAGAAACTTTAAACTTTTCACGTGAACGCCGAGTGAAATACGTAATCTTTCATAGAAAAGTAATTTTGATATTCCTATTATACATATTGTCAACGAGTTTCACGTTTATCCCCGTTTTCGTGATTACAATAAATTTTCTATTTCACATTGAAACGCTATTTTTAGCTTCACCAAGCGTGAAAAAATCGGGGAAACAAACGAGATCATATTTTTTTCTGTTTAGCCTCTCAACGTACGCTGTTGAGAGCAGCAGCAGCCGCGACGAAGTAATTGAACATCTTAAACGCGCGTCCATTTGAACAGGTGACAGGAGGATCAAGAGTAAAAGTAAGACTGACGCAGAGGCGTAGTGAAAATGAAAACTCGAGCCCATCGCTAGCCCGTAGTACGGGGACGTGTTTCGATCTATCGAGCGGCGCTTTGGACCGTCTGGTTTACGGTGCGGCTTATTCAGTGTCAGTGCTGTTCTCGGCACGTTCGGTGAACGGAGGAGACGGTGGTCCGTACGCTGGTGGACGCTACGATCGTTGGAAGAATGTGTCGGTAGATCGACAAATCCTGCACTCGCCGCGACCTTTTCAAAACGTTGATCGCGCTCGCTCAATAAACGCCTCGATATCGCGAGGGCTTCGCAACCAGACGGCACGCCGCAGCCAAGTGGTACGTATCGTTAAAACTAACGATTGTCAGGCACACCGTTCGCGATCATTGTCACGGGCTTGACAAAGGGGAGACATTTCAAATCATTTCAAAGTGGCATATATCATACTGGAATTGCAATTAACGTGCATGCCCGAGCCGCGGTGTGTCGCGTTCACTCGCCGAGAATGCGCTTTGTGTTTACGAATGAACGCGCGCATTCATCCGACGTACGATTCTTCACTGTGTATGAGAGAGAGAGAGAGAGAGAGAGAGAGAGAGAGAGAGAGAGAGAGAGAGAGAGAGAGAGAGAAAGAGTTTTCACTAACAAATTACATTGTGTTACATGACCAGGCATAACGTGACAACGTAAACGGACTATATTTTCTACGCTGTCGTGTCCGTTTGCCAGCACTGCGAACGTGGTTAATGTGAATTAGCAAGTGAACGATGAATACTTGAACGAGCTTATTTTACTTATGGGTAAAAAAGTCATAACTATCGCTGTTTTTTTCTTTTTCTCCTTCCCTGTTTTCATTTCTTATTTATCATCTGTCTATTCAGATAATGATAACCAAACACTTTAGATTCAATTGCGATATATATATAATACGTACAATGATGGTTCGGTCATCAATGTAAATTCATTACGGTGCAGAAATCTTGATTTGCTGGATGTGATGTTAATTTTAATTTTACGCCAATTTTAATTGCAAACTGTCCGGAGTAAAAATTATTTAAACAGTTTTTATATTCTTTTGTTCGAATGGAAAAATCACAATTTGATAGTAATGCGTGTAAAATAGAACATGCATGACATTATTGTTATCTGTTGTAACCTCCAGTTATTTATTCTTTTTTACGTCTGGAATTAGCGAAATCCAAAGTCGATTCTCTCGAGAATGAAAAAGTTGTATTCTACTATTATTTCTTTTATTTATTTTATCCTACTTATTTTTTTTTTTTTTTCTTATTTCTTTATGAGGAATTATCATATATTATTCCGACGCACCTTACATTACAAATGGTTTTATTACCGTATTATTATTTATTATTGCTAGTGTAAATGTATAGTGCACGAAAATATATTTGAAACTGGCAGAGGATTTAAAAATTTGACTAAATTCGCAGATTCATCATTAAAACTTTTCTTCACTAGATTAAACGTTCTCTCATCTATTCGAAGCAAATAATATGATACAACATTGACAAGAAGATTGGATTTTTTTATATATTTAATACATTCTGCAACGTACGAAGGAAGTTAACAAGAAGATAATTACTAAAAAGAGAGAGAGAGAGAGAAAAAAAGAACAGAATTATAGCAAGTAGTCATCTGAAAACGGAAGCGTAAAGTAGACATATTAACAGGTTCCATAGAGCGCATTCAACTTTCTCGCAGATCAAAAGATTGTTCGCCGCGCAAGAGAGAGAGAGAGTGAATAGATAACTCGTAAACACGCGAAATAATCTTTTCTAAAACTATCATAGCTTTTCGAATTTATTCTTTATCGAGCGTGGTCGAAAGGTTTACGATTTAAAGGAATCAGCATTCACGTTGGACGGAAGAAAATCGTATTCCTTTTCACGCGCAATATATACGTTCACTCGGAACGTTTCAGCAAAAAAAAAAAAAAAAAAAGTGGAAATATTAAAAATACAGCTTGTTTGCCATGGTTTGTAATTTTCTTGTTAAGTTTCATCCGACGTTTAACAGGCCCCTTCTCGATGAATTGACACAAATTTCTAACTATATCCGTAAGATATCGCGCGAGAAACGTCGAATTTTTCACATCTTTTCTTCTCTATGTCTCGTAACGGATTCCTGGAGTTTATTTTTTTTTTTTTTTTTTGTAAGGAATTTGCGTGTAGAAGGATAGTCGCGTGCAGTTTCCTCCGACGAGAGGTTTCGAAAACAGTTCGTCGAGAGAGCAGTCGCTGCGCTGAAAACCTCGCTTCTATATCGTACGGTTAATATTGAAGCCACGCAGATTGCCGTGGCTGACAAAGAAGAAATTGAAAATCATGAATGTATGAATGTAAATGAATGCAATGGAACATGAGTGGCACTTTAAAAAGTAGCTTGAATGGCTCGTCAGTACGAATTTAACAATATACGACCCAATTGAAATTCTTTTTCTTTCTTATAAATATTTATTTCAATCATAGAATTCTATTTGAAAAAGACGTAAGGAAGTGTATTTTAGAAATATCCACATTAAGTAGCTTATTTGCATTGTATATGATCTATCGTATACCTTTGTGTCTTAATTAACGGTATGACGTCTAGTATGCAGAAATTTTCCAACGTTTAAAAATGTTCAAGTTGTTCTATGTAAAATGTTTGAAACGCGTGACAAATTTGAAAAATAAACCAGAACAATGAAACTCGACTTGTTTTTCGTCTTTGGATAAATTTAGAAGTAGATGAGATCGTATTATCTGCGTTTCAAAAATTCCCCTCGCCAATAACGAGGAAAAGGTCGACTGAGAATTAACTTGCTAAAATTTTAATTGTTAAAGCCTGATAAATGATACAGTTCCTCTCTGTTCACAGATTAGAAGATATCCGAAATATCTTCAATGATGAAATTATTAGCAGGCGTGGAAGAGGTGAGCGAGCAAAACGAGAAGCAGCCGAACAATGACGAATCGCGAAACAATAATCACGAAAAGCAATCAAAACCAGATGTCACGCAGGAAACGATCAAGCTGCTTACCGGCGAGGTAAACTATCATTGTCGTTCAAGAGGATGTAGATAAATATTTTATATAATGTTGATTATTTTTTACACGGAAGTAGGGTGGCCATCGAAGCGAATAAGGCCGAGATTTTTTGTGAAAAAAGAAAAAAAAAAAAAAAAGAAAGAAAGAAAAAGACACATCTCGCGTATATACTTGCGTATTCCAGCCGCAACTTTCACTTTGGCCAGCCCGTAATTAATGGTTAGATCACACGGTAGCGTATTCTGCAATTGTGCTCTACCCGGTATGCTCTATTTCTGTTTGACGTTCAAAAATTTTAGCTTTGCGAACTGTCGACATGCATTTCCGAGCATGTAGGTTGATCAGCGACGTATGAATTATAATTCTTCTCTGCCACGATCTTAATGCCTGTTATTAAGGTTGAAACTTGATGAATTTCTAACGCAAACAATTTCGCTGGTGAATCGTCGAAATTACAGTTCTGGCAGTTTTCGGGAACGAAGCGATTTTCGACGGCAATTAAACAATTTGTACGAACATTGCGAAATCGTTAATACCGCGAAAAAAAGTAAAAGAAACATCGATAAATTAATAACAATGATATCAATTGGTAATCGATCATAGGGTATTGACGATTTGAACGTGCGTATCAGTCATACTGTATCAAAGTTTACAAAGATAATTATCGCAATTCTTGCACTAGCCGCGGATGAAGGAAATAGGCACGCGCTCCGTACCAAGTAGTACTGAAGCTGTTATATCGAAGTGAAAAATCGATTTCGCTAGTGAAAGATGCGGGCAAAATAGAGAAGAAAGCCTGTGGTAAACTTGACACACTCGGATGAAAGGCAAGTCCCGTTGCGGCCTACTTTGCAGCTTTCATATCTTCGAGATAGCGACTAAATCTTTCTCGTTGTATCTTGAAATTGCCTATGCGACGTACAATTATGATAAACTATCGATATGTCCGGAAATAGGTACACCGACCAGCGGTGTGCAGACATTTTATTTAGATACGATACGAATATTTTGTGTAACTAAAGCTATTTTCAATCGACTTTTAATTTATTGAGTAAACATAACTCGAGTGAAGGAATACTTGAAACATTTCTCACTTTTGCCAGCGAAACTTAATTGATAATATCGCAGGTATATTTCAATTCAAGTTGTTTGCGAGTTTCACTAGCTCGATGTAGTGTGAGGATCGATTGTTATATGTAAAGTTCATGGTGTGTAAAGAATAGTTCGATTTCCACGTTGTGCACGTGCGTTAGCTATTTGAATATTCCTGTTTGAGTAAATTCATTGCGTAAATGCATCTAAAAAATATATATGTACACGTTGCGTTCTGCTGGAACAAAAAATTATTGGTAACTAATAATTTGTTATTTAATATTGAATTGATGGGAATAACTCTTGTTCTTAATAAAAAAAACACAATTTTTTAACAATTTTATTTTCAATTTATTCATTTATTGCCAATTGTAATTACTTAAAATATCAAACGTAATTCTTTTCAGGTGTACCGTAGATCTTCTAGGAAGCTGGAAGATTCGCCTATCAAAGGTAAAAAGATCACGCTCGAAGATGAAGAAAAACTGCGGCGCCTTCTTGCTTATGAAGAGGCCCCTGAACATCTTCAACACAATCCTTATATCCTTCACGGATATCGAGGATATCTTACAACGAAACTGTGCATCGAGAGGTTTGTAACCTAACATTATCCAATGTCGATGGATACGATTTCTCCACACCTGTCCAACTTTCGAAACACCGCAGATCAAGCGGCTTAGATTAAATCTGAAATATCTCAAACTCGTGAAAGCAACTGCAAGAAAAGAAATGTTTGTTTCAGTATATTCTGGTGGACGAACGAAACAGTAAATATATGGAGTCACATATTCGGATGGATGTTGTTTTGCGGCCTGACTTTGTACGATCTTTGTCTACTGAACATTCACGCACCTTTCGGTGACAAAATGATTGTAGCGCTCTTACTGATTTGTTTTCAAGTAATGACAAAATATATTTCTTCTTTCAACAACTCAAATGTTGACAATTTGACAGATGAAGAACAAAGAACATGACTAATTGTTTCAGGCATGCATGATATTATCTTCAGTGTATCATACGTTTTCTTGCCGAAGTGAAAGAGATTATTGGTGTTTCCTATCGTTTGATCTGTTTGGCATTGCTCTCAGCCTTTTGTCGATATACATGTCTGGAGTTTACTACGCTTTTTGGTGTCACAAGGTAACCAAATTACTGTAATTATTAAACAATCTCCAAATTATACCTCTATCTCTAGACTTTAAATTAATACACAAATTATACATTATGAAATCTCTAGACTTTAATCAACTGTCGCAACTTTTTACTTCCTAGTTGTACGATTAATAATGCAACCGATGCAACTCGTATTTAACGGTCATCTTAATGCTATCTGCATAACAGGTTGTTTGCAACCTGTAATAATAAAAATAAAATGTCCATGATACAAAAGAAAATATTCCATCGTATAGATACTGTACAAAGTAAGATACCTATGTGTGTAAATGTATGATTAATAATAAGTGTGAATATTTGTTGTCTCAAACAGGAGTTGCAGCGATTTTATCTAGTAACTGTGTTGGCGATTTTTATATTTGCAATGGTTCTGCAAATACCAAAACTGAATGTCAACGGGAATATCAAACTAGTCGTTTTTGTTGCTTGGGCGGCTTATGGAGTGCTGCCAACGTTGCATTGGAGCATCGCTATGGGTGGCATGGACAACCCGATCGTTAGAATGTTGCTCCCAAGGGTACTAGGGATGTATGTCATCAGTGGTGTAGCATTTGTCATTTACTTAAGTAAAATACCGGAGCGCTTCTGCCCAGGTAATTAATTTCCTAACTTCTTTTTTTCATAAAAGCTTCATTATTGTGGGAATCTCGACGAATAAAATAAAAGAATATTTTATCTACGTAATGTTAGATACAATTTATTAAATAAGGATTGACAGAAGAAAAAATTCCGGTGCCCGGGACTGACAAAAAAAAAAAAAAGAAAAAGTCTATCAAGTCTTTCTAGAACTTTCTGAATTCTCGCTACTCTGTCCCAAATCTCGTTGATGACTCACAACTCTCTATTGAATTCCTTTACGATGCCTCCTGGAAGCTTTCACACGCTCGTATCCTTAATATTTTGAACTTATGAATATAAGTCTAATAGATCTGGCTAAAACAAATATTCCCAGATCCAGTCTTCGTCTAAATCATCTCTGCAGGAGACAATTGTCTCGTTTTTGGGCCACACCGGAAGAAGTTTCAAGCCCTTTCGCAATTTTATAAATTACGTAACATTGACAAATGACACAACTTGCTAATGATCTGTTCGCATGAATACATTTTCTGGCGTCAATTGGCAAGTAATTTAAATTTACGAAGCATCGAATGAATAAACACGAGGCTAAAATAGCGTTCTCATTTCAATTCTTCAGTTAACTAAAAGGCAGGATTGTTCGACCGCGAGGAAGAATTTTAACTTTATAAACAATTTGTTTTTTCATCAATCTGTGTATCCATTGCACGAACGATTTATATTACTAAAGTTTTCATTCTGTTGAAGGATGGGTGGATTACATCGGTTCGTCTCATCAGTGGTGGCACGCGTTAGTAGTGCTGGCCCTTTATTATTGGCACAATACCGGAATGCTTTACGTAGAATACAGAATGAACCATGGCTGTCCAAGCAATATAAGATTATTATGACACACAGAGACTGACGACCATTCAGGTATGAATTATATGTGATTATGTGTGACTTATATAAAACCAATCGTTAATGCATTCAATTTTAAGATTGCTTTCTTATATAAAAGACCGAAAGATATTTCACTCCTGTAATCTTCATTTATTTGTTTTCAAATTCATCGTTTCTTTTCTTTTGACGTTGCTCTGTTTCACTTATTTCAACACAATCATATGACATAACACGATGTAATTATGATGTAACACACATACGTAATCATTTCAGGCCATGGTTTTATTATGGAATGTGCTTGTGCTATGGAATTCAATGTTTGGTCGTCAGAATATTTCAACAAACTACCGTTTTACGCTACAGAGACGAAAACAGCTTGCACAATCGAGAATCCATTGCGAGCGTATCTTCATCGACGAGCGTTTTAGCACTATTAATGCGTGAAATTCGCAAAATTTATCTTTAAGGTAACGTTAATATGGATCTTTTTTTAAAACGGTTGCTAGTAATTAGTAAGTTATGATAATTCTATTGTTAGTAATTTTTATTTATTTTGTACTTGTAAGTTTTAAATAGACTTATTGCATTTTCCTTTTGTTTTTTGTTTTTTGTTCTTCTTTTTTTTCCGCAACGAACAACCTTCAGGCGTTCGTTTCATTCGCACGTGAGGGACACATGATGCAATTAAACTTTCCAGTATTTCTTTTATTCCAATTCATTTTGTTGAAATTGGAGTTGTATATTATTAAACAATATTTGTAAAAATCACACTGTAAAATACGATGATAATAATAGTATAAAATACATACGCTGGCTTTTGAACAGTGCCTGACAACTTGTAAATAGAGAATTGTAAATGAAAGTTTTATATAAAAAAGTAAGAAAAAAACTTAGTTTTAAATCTGAACGTTTGCTCGACAAGAAATAGTTGATTGTAACGATTGAATTTTGTTTTCAAATAAAATTACACGAAATTAATTATAACTCTGGTTGATTCTATGATGATGAACAACATACTTTTCATTATCATAGATTTTCCATTAGTGGACATTAATAGTTGCAATTCTTAGTTGTAATATTATAAATCGCCAGTAAAAATAAATTAATATATTAGTTAATCATTTTATGTTAGATTACACGAAATAGATTAAACGTTTGCATATCACTTGTAAATTTAGCTTTCATTTACACAAATAGCGAAAATGTTATACATAATTGTTTGGAATATTTGTTTCATCTTGCACTGTTCAATACATATCAAAGAAAATTACAAATGTACATTTTATAATGTATAAATGAAACAATTTAAGCAATTACATCCTTATCAATTTTCATATGACTTGGCTGAGTTATATGAATAATCGCATGTTGTATGAAATAATTGTAATAAAGTGTTGTTGTTCCTTTCAATTGTTAAATAAAATTATCTAAAAATTTACTGCTCATCATTTAATTTTGAAACCCAAGTTGTTTAAGAATAATGTTGGCCCAAATTCCGAATGCACTATACGAGAAAAAATAAATATTACTATGGCAAAAATGTTTCAATTTATTAAGTAAAATTTAAAAATCTTTATACATGCATGATGTGATAAGCTTCGAGTCTAATGAAGCAGATGCAGTTATAAAAGTTCATAACTTAATCCGTTATTAGTTTTTTTCTTGCAAATAAAAATTTGATCGATTCACAGACATTGAAATGCTAACGTCACGTAGCGGTGAGATGGTGGAACTAATTTATATTACTGTCCTTGTTGCATACTATTGTGCTCCTTGTCTATAGATAGTACCGCCATCTAGGCACCTCTCAAATCTGATTGGAACCAAAAGCATGAAATGGAAAAATTCGACAGATGGCGACACATGTATCGATCGAGGTCGGTAATAGATAATTTAATTCCAACAATCCTCGGCGGATAGCAGCACCTACTATCTACCGTAGACAAAAAAGCCCCATAGTGTGTGATAAGGATAGATATATATTGTGTGATAGACAAAGAGAGAAATAGTGTAAGACAAGGACATCAATAAAATTAGTTCCACCATTTCACCGCTACGTGACGCTAGCATTTCCCGTGAATCGATCAAATTTTTATTTGCAAAAAGAAACTAATTAACCTGATTTATTTATTTTATTATTTATATATATTATTTTGTTATTGCGTATTCTCAATTAAGGTTCAAGTTTTTTTTTTTTTTTTTTTTGATACTTTAGCTGATTTATAAAGTGCACGTATAAAGATTTGCAAATTTTATTTAATGGACCGGAACACTTGTTCAAATAATTTTTAATTTCTTTCAAATTTTTAAAAATATTTTATTCCTTTGAGAATTACAACCGGTCTATATGTGAAATATTAATTGTTTTTTTTCTCACGACTTTCATTTCAGAATTATTAAATTGCATTTCATTCATAAACTTTTATAAAGAATTTCTAAATGAATTAATATATGAGTCAAAATTCGTACGTGATTCGTCCTTCCGTGCATAAAAAAGCTAACAAATTATAAAATTAATTTCAAGCAATAAAATAATAATTCAGTTCTTTTAACATTCAGAAATATTCTATTTTAGGAAATAGATTGCAAAATGACTTTCCGAGAGTAGTCAGGAATTTAAAAAATTATTGTTTTACATTTTCACTTTCTTGAATGTTCCTTAAATCTGAAATACGCAGGCCTAGTACAGGTATTCAAGAATCCTACATTTCCTGTTCCTTTGTCACAACCGACAATTAGTCAAGTCTGCGTCTATTTCGACGAACTTCTGGCTTAACAGCACGCTCAGTGCATCGCAGAAATTTTTGACGTTATTTTCATCGACAAATTTACACCTATTTGAGACTTTGGTCGAACAAAGTATCCGAATTGCGGGTGCCTGACACTTTCACGTAGTCCTCGTCTTTCCCATGAGGTGTTTAGTAGGGCAAAACTCGTTTTCAGTGTGTTAAGTGTCTCGTCTTTCTTTGTTGTTCGAGTTTCTCGCGTATTTATCGAGCACTCTTCTTTTAGTGAATCAACATGCCAAAAAATAAGGGTTCGTAAATAATTTCTTTTCTTTACTTGCTTCCCTCGTGAAAATTCTGATTTTCGTGCAAACAGCCGTGCAATTTCCACGCAATGTGGTTAGTTTGTTCTAACCTATTAGTGTCAAATTTTGTCTCTGAAATCGTTAAACTCATCGCACCAAAAGTCGAGCATTCCTTCTTTGGAAAATTTGCAAGAAATAATCTCGAGGTGATGATCTTTAAATTAATATTTTTTTCCAGGAAAGGGAGGTAAAAATAGAAGGAGGGGTAAGAACGAAAACGAAACAGAGAAGAGAGAGTTGGTTTTCAAAGAGGATGGTCAAGGTAAAGATATCATTGAAAATAATTTGTCACGATGTTTCGCGTTTTGTCGACGCGAGTCTCTTGAATTGCATTTATTTAATCGAAGAATTTACCATATGTTCGCAATTTTGAAGTAATAACATTTTAAATAGTGTTGAAATTTAAAAAAAAAAATTTTTTTTTGTTACGTGTAATTACGAAACAAATCCCGATCAACCACCAACTTTTATATTTCTCGTTGATGCAGAATACGCACAAGTCACAAAAATGCTTGGCAATGGGAGGTTAGAAGCAATGTGCTTCGATGGTGTAAAACGATTGTGTCACATTCGTGGAAAATTGCGGAAAAAAGTGTGGATAAATCAAGGTGATATTATACTAATTGGTCTGAGAGACTATCAAGACGCGAAAGCAGACGTCATATTAAAGTACACTTCAGATGAAGCTCGTAACTTGAAAACCTATGGTGAATTCCCTGAAACTGGTAAGTGTAGTCACAATATTTCAATGTCTCACACTGAAAATATATAGTATAAGTATACTTTTATGCCTGATATTTTGTTTAGTGCGTATCAACGATACTGTCACCTTTGTGGAGGATGGTTTCGATGAAGATATTGAATTTGGTGATGAAATTAGTGATGATGATGAAGATGATGTTGACAACGTGAGTATTCAACATTTTCACCAATATCTCTAAAATATGTTACTATCATAAAATGAAAAAACTATGGAGCTATAGCTAGTTTCTGTCATATTATATAATTTAACTTGAAAGTAATATAATTTTGGCTTTACAGATCTGATGACCTTCAATATAAATATATACTTAAAAGTTATGGTACAAGAGTGCATGAAAATACCTATTTGTTTTACAAAATGCTATAATTTCTTGCGCAATTACGATACTAAAAATTTTTTGGAACAAGTAGTCAATTTCCTGTATCAATAAATAAATTTTCACTTGTCTCCGTGTAACATTGTGTTGCAATATAAAATTGTTACATCCTGGATTTTCAGGATATGCAAATGTCAATGAACATTTGATATTCTCTGTGCAGCCTATCTTTTACTTTCGTACGACTTTAATTAGAAATAATGTCCCATCGCGAATGGGTACAAAAGGAAAATATTGTTCATTTTTAAATTACTTTAGAATCACTGTTCAGAGTAATTTAACATTAGAGTAAGCTTTTAATATTGCTGTTTGGCTAATAGTTTGGCTATTACGGATACAAATAGTTATGTATTTATGTATGATATCAGTACATTGTTCTTGTAGCAAATTTCTTTTGTACATTCTTTCTTTAACAATCAAATTAAGTAGCATATTTGCACTGTCATTGCAATTTCGAACAGGGGAAATAGTAAGCACACGTTACCGCAATTATCTTCTGTATGAAAGCGTTTCATTGACTCATTTGTTATATGTATAAACATGTACAACTTTCCAGAAACTTGTTTATGCGATTGTATTCAATTTAATGTAATATTCTACAATGAGAGTTATTAATTGTGAATATAACAGAAGCAATATATAACTATCAATATTAATACACTAAAATTTTATTTAAAAGCGTTTGTTAAACAAACAAAATCGTCATTATCGTCGTAACATCCGAGAACTACATATTTATTTCAAAAAGAGAAAAGAAAAGCAAATTACTTTAAATGCGAGAGACTTGTAAACATGTACTGTTGTTTCTCTTTTCTGTACTTTATATTGAAAAATTGTCAGAACGTTAACTGCTATATGAAACATTAATTCCATGAACATGTACTAAGTGAAATTAATGTCAACTGTTAACAACGAATAAAAATATATAAAATACCAAGTTTAGTTTCTTCATTTAGATCCCTTTTCACTTGTATGTTGTACGAAAACGTTTGTTATTGAAACGTAACAAAAATCAGTAGAATGTAATTAACCAGGATTGGGTATAATTTCATATTCCTGACGTACCAGCGTGTTTGTTACAAGTACATCAAGAATTGCGATGCAACAGTTTATTTATTACATTGTCGTTGATAACTCTATCACACAATAGTATGTATATGATAAAATCATATCTTTTTCCACTTCTGTTTACCTTTTGATATCGTACGCGTGTACAATGGCTTTATAATTTTTAATATAACATTGTATTAGTTACAGAGGGGTTAAGCGGAGGAAAATTAGAATGGCCACACGGCATATACGCGTCACTCGTGAAACCGAAACCATCAAATATACAAAAATTACGTTCAGAGTTAGAAGCGCACTGATGCGATACTGAATGTTAAATACATTTTGATTTGAACGTATGTACGTGAAAGGATGTCGAATCTTTACACATCTTGTTACTGATAATCATTTTCTTACGCGAAATCGCAACAACAGAACAATCGTAAGATATTAAAGCGGGTCTATCGTAAACTTTTAGTCACAATGCCAATACTGTTTACCTTACAAATTTCAATTGAATTTCACATGACCTGTACATTTTGTTAGAAGATTTAATTACTACACTTCTCCCACTGAGCATTAATCTTTAATTAAATTAGAACTGAACAAATGAATCAATGTTTCAAATATTCAAAGAGTCTTCATTCGTATTAAAGGTTTCAGTTTGGGACGTGAAATAGATTTATCCTACCATGTTCTCGATTGAAGAACATGGTGGGTGATGAGCTTAGGCAATTACAAAATACGTATGTACGTTTTATGGCGTAACATTACTGGCTTCGTAGTTATGATTTACATATGAAGACACGTATACTGATGGATACATACCATAGGCAAACAAACAGCGTATAGAATAAATATTCAGATCTGAACTGAGATAAAAATAAAATAACCGATATATACAATCTTTTACGAATCACAAATAAACTTTATATAACTTAAATATTTTTAAAAATAAGTTCAAATAATGGCAAGAAATTTTTTTCTTTTACCAGAAAAAAGTGGAACAATTAGTAAACATGACGCAGTTCGTTCTACGTGTATAAATCCGACTTGTTTGCCAAAGATAATTATTAGACAAAATATGAACGAAACGTAAGTTAGCCAGTGAAGTTACCTGGTCGACGTTGAGATTATTTGCATATCTTTTTTTTTTTTTCTTTTATTAACGTACTCAATAGAGTAATATAGATAGTAGTTGTTAGTAAAAAATGTACTAGTATACTGCAGAGAAATGGACAGCGAATAAAAAAACTCTGTCGTCAATGGACTGCAAGAATAGTTCGTCGTGTTACATCGGTTGTTCGCGTCGTCGTGTAAAAGGGGGAAAATAGTTTCTCGTCTTGTAATACAAATGATGTTGTTATCGTAACAGTCGGAATATTTAAATGCCAGTATCGCAACGTCCGTAATGAGTTACAATAAATGTTACGACAGTACATAGGAGCATAATGTTTTATTTTGATGCGTGTGTGATTGTGCCTTTGGTCCTTAGGTCAGATAGGCTCTAGGCAAGTCTATTAAACATAGAATAACAGTCATTATAGATAATAATTTATAAACTTCAGATGCATAATTATATCTTCTCAATATATTGTACATTAATAGAATACCTTATTTAAAGTATGTATATTTATATATAATATGTATATATATATTTTTTCTTCTTTTTTTTAAATACATACTATATACGATTCCTTTCTGTGCCTTTTAAAACTGTGTTATACATTGAAAGCTAACGTTGCTTAAGTATTAAGACGTGTTTTCGAGTCGAGTAAAAGTTTAGACAACACATTTGTTTTCTTCCTTTTTTTCTTTTTTTTCTTTTCCTATCGTCAATCGTCGTGCCGTTTGCCTTTTTTCCCCGTTTCTTTCCTCTCTCTCTTTTCCTTTTATAATAATTATAATAATTTACACGATCGCGATACAAATGATAGAATCGTCGATTAACATTCCATCTATGATCTCTCAGATTTATGCGTGCAACATTTTGTCCAATGATTCCGCTATATAAATAAAATATTCATGTTTTATAATCTTGCAATTATTACAATTGTATAATAGGACATTTATATAAGTTACGCTAAGAAATTATTATATATACAATTAAAAATTGTTAGGAAATATTCTTTTAAATAAGTTAAATTTACACTTGTTTTATGATCCACGGAAACATTTATATCTCGTTGCCATTCAAATCGGGAAATTAGATGGGCGTAGATATTCCGCGTTTTATTTTTTTTCTTTTTCTTTTTCTCTCAAACAAATTTCTCGATCTCACGCCACGCCGGAGTTTTCAATGATTCGAGTAACAACAAGAATTTGTTTCTTTTGTTTCTTTTTAGAATCTGCGTGTGTATATGTATGTGTGTGTGTGTGTGTGTAGGTGGGTGTGTGCAGTTCATCATTAAAAAAAAAAAAAAA